CACTGCCCGCTTGTCAGAACGGAGCTCTGCCTTGTTTACATAGGGGTTTTTTGGGGGGGGGGGGTTAATTCCACTGTAACTCAGACTTTAATGTGTTACCACTGCAGTCTGTCTATTACTGTTATGTGCTTCTTTGATATAGTCCCCTGTTCCCCCTGCTGTTAGGTGATATTTGGTCTAGTATTTAGCTAGATACTCCCTACCCTTGCCTTACCTGTTTTATAGTTTAGTTTCCCTTTTCACTTCAGAGACAGGGCTTGAGAAAGCCAATGACTTCTTACACTTCAAAAGACCAAAAATATCATTTTTATTGCATGTATTTGAAGTAAAAGTTTGATTCAATTTCTGTATTCTTGATGGGGAAATTGTATATTTTATATTTCCTTATTATTGTTGGCTCACAATATCTAATAAGGAGACAAGGATGTCACTTTAGATGACTTAAAGGAAATGTAACTGCAAACAGACCAATTTTTTAAAAGGTCATATAACTTGCAGTGGGGGGGCATTTCATTCCCTATACACAAGTCCAGTATATAACACACAGCTAGACTGGAAATATTTGTCTCGACCTAGAGCATGTGTTAAGCATGCGTCTATTCTGATCATTGGCCGTGCCTTATAATGGAGGGACCCTTGGTGGAAACAGCATCTTTAATGAAGTATTCTTGTTATATTTTCTTTATTTGTACCTGCCATTACTTGTAATACATGTTTTACTTATAAATATTTGTGTGATCTCTCTTTGCACCTATCGAATACCCCCCAAAACCCTAACAAAAAAGTTCTAAAGAAAAGTTTAGTTGGTTATGGCTTCTACTACTGCCCATACAGACTGGGCCTAGGAGGTATTGTCATTGGATATGCCAGCTTGTAGGCTGGTTGCCTACAATATGTTAATTAGTAAGTGGCTGGCCCAGGCTGGGGAAGGGTTAATATCCTGAACTCTGTTCCTGGAATTTTTGGAACCTGCCTTCCCACCCTGCAATATGATAAAAAGAGGAGGAGAAGCGAGTTCAGGGGGTCGTTCACTCAGGGTCTTAGTCATCCTGCTCATGGAGATGCTGTTGCTGTCATGAAATAAGGGGGACTTATGCCCAGCAGTCTGTTAGAAGACACCTGGAGCCCAGAGAACTACAAAGCCTTGGAGACGTCACTTATGGATTACTACCTTGTTGAGGTACACCTGGGCAACCTAGTTGAGTACATTGGGGATGCTGCACTGCAATGTTCTGGTTGGACTATGACACAAACTATTCAGTAAAGTTGCATCAACTGTTTTAAGCCTTGTATGAAGTCATTTAAAGGGGTGCATGAAGGTTCCTTGCTTATGAAAGAACTAGGGTCAGTAAAGCACATGTGGGGTATGAAGCAAAGCCACTACTAAAGGTGTACTCAATCAAACAAGTAAGAAGAATAATGCAGTTGGTATGGGTAACCTAAAATAGTGTCAGGTACATGCCATGATTCATGGTACCTGGCAGGGAGGAGGGTCCTCCTGTAGTGAGGGGGTTGGTGACTTGGCTTCCTCTCCAGCAGTTGGTTCCCTGAAGGCATCCAGACTGAACTCATGTTATGGAGACCCATAGCCTAGCCACATGGTACAGGACAGCTGAAGGAGTTAAGTGAGAACACACATGAGATCTGCGCTGAGTGCTTGCCAGGATCCTATTCTATCAGGAGGAGCAAGGCAGCAGAGATACGCTGGACAGATGGAGAGGGCACAAGCTCAGCATTGTGTGTACTAAATGTAATATATAGAAGAGGAGTGTGTGTCTTGACACAGGACAGTATACAACAGAGGGACTGGTACGAGGTTCATCTCTAATCCAGGAAACCAATATAATGTTTGATTTCTCACATGACCGCAGTCCCTGCCTTGTCCCAGGCATTGATGAGTGCACTCCATGTGAAAGGTACCCCCCATATGCAGGACAAATGGTTCCACCCACAAGCATGTGAAACAGAACATTTATTAATTTAGCAAAAACAAAGCAGACTTGCATGTATTGCCAGACCATACTTATTCATAAGAAGTCAACGTATTTATATATAATATACTCTATGTACTGCATACATTTTATAGCTAGATATCAACAGGCAGGATTGGAACATAGTCAAAAAACTGTGGATTGACACATCTGTATACAAACATCTTTTTTTAATTAATTTTCCACTTGTGTTTCCACTAAAGAGTACTGATTTGATTTGTGGTACACTAGTACACTAAGAGTACTGTTTGGTTAGTAGGATTTCAAATGTACACAACCATGGACAGTTCACTTTCTAATCTTGTTTTAAAAGAAGCTATTTTTATGTCCGGGTTAAGGCTACAAGACCTGTAAAAAATGATGCTGTGTTGCCAACATACTACCCCGTAGGTGCAGTCACAGTAGCCTTTTTATAGCTATACAGAAGCTTTCAAGCAGGGAAACAAACTGTAGATTTGCTGTCGTCAGAAATCAAGCATAACATATGTTCAACATTTTATAGCCAAGAGCTCATATCTACTGTAACTAAGCAGCAAGACTGTAAATGACCATGACTTCCTTCAAACTGATGTCATGGTTCTAACCCCATGTGTGACTACGTAGGATTATTGAACATCTATACTATTACTAAATATACAAAACTCCTTAAAAATTCTCTAGCTAACTGTAGGTATAACAGGGTTAAAGGAACTTAACTAATGGTGAATTCACAGAGGAGACTAAACCCTAGTGACCAGGGGCGGACTGACAACTCATGGGGCCCCCGGGCAATAGGGGATCATGGGGCCCCTGTGTCCTTGCCCAAACTCAAAAAAGCCTATGAAAAAGGTACCAGGGGCATCTCATGGGGCCCTCTACTGACCCCGGGCCCTCGGGCAGTGCCCGAGTTTCCAAATGGTCGGTCCACCCCTGCTAGTGGCATACCTTCTTAGAGCTTATACACAGCATATAATTATTATTTAATGCTTCTTTTAGGGCTCTTTTACATCATACCATAGGTCATACCCCATATAGGCGACCTTTTATAGGCTTTTAAAGCACGTTAAGTCTCAGTATCAAAAAGGAATCAAATGTTTCAAATTTATTTGTGCAGCCCTATTTTGTGTGTGTGTGGGGAAGGGATGGCAAATGTTCCTCCCCAAACAGGATATTGTGCTAAACCTGTAGGTAACTAAGAGAACCAAAACCTTCACTAAGTGGAAGAATGGCTTTGATAATACATTTGGAAGTGCCTACACCCACAACATGGCCTCTGTGAACAGAGGGTATTCCCTTCCTGGGAAATAATCAGTAATCTAATCAACATAATTGGGAGCAGAGAAACTACTTCCACCAGTATATAACATTTACCTTCAGATTTTACATCATAGTCCAGTTGCAGGGGGCCATGTGGATATGCAGCAATTGTCTTGATGTATGTAACCTGAAGACAAGAAATGCGGTGATGGGGAGACCCAGCCACTGTCCAGCCAGCCTGGACCAGCCTGACCCGCAACTTCTCACACACTGAAACCATGTGGTGGCACTGGAACTCAGAGTCCAACCAGCCTAGACTGCAGCTGCTCACATGCAGAAATCGTGAGGTGGCACTGAAACTCAGAGTCAGCTTATCTATTATGTGCTTCAGTCTCTCCCTAGTAGTATTTAATCTGACATGCAATTGGACCTCTAACTACCAGAAGTGGCTTTTGGATGCCTACCCTGGCTCTAGCCTGTGCTGGTTATTGAGGCCTGAGCCAAAACTAGTTATAGAATCCCAGACCAGAAGTGATAGGGTTATCTAAAATCTCTCTCTCTCTCCTCCCCCTCTCTCTCTCGTCTAAAAACACCTAGAATACATATCACACTATCTTAAACAATGTCGATAGCTAAGTCTTTTATTCAGTGATCTACTTGTAATTGTATCCTGCTACTGCTGAAAAAAGCAGACTAAGAGCACCCAGTGTGCAATGAGTGTATGTTAATAAATGTTATCCTGAAAGGCTAGCTATTAAACATTGTAGCAATGGGTTGGAAACCTTGATCAGTCCTCTAATATTTTACGGCATCATGTGTCTTCCATATGGTTACTGACATCTTTACTAGACTGCAAGCTCAAGGATGACCATAAAATACATCATTGTGAAACTGCTATTGGTTTCAAGAGGATCTGTTAAGCAATAGTGTCAAAGTCATGAATAATATTATAGCCTGAAAAATATATAGTTATTTTCACAATTTCCACATATACCTTGCATGGCAATGGTCATCTTTAAGATTGTTCTCTCTATCACCCAAGTATAAAATGCCTAAACCCCATGTGAACATTTAAATAAAGTCCAATATTAGTGGTAGGAAGTTTTGGGATGCACAGTGAGAATGTCTATAACAGCTGTGTTAATTGTCCATTGTTTAAGTCCCAAATACCACTCCCCCTTTCACAATATTCCTGCACACTGTCAAGGATGACCATTAAAATACATCACATGGAAACCACTGCTGTTTTCTATTCTTTCACCCAGGTTTAAAATGCCTACACATTTAAATAAAGGCTGGTATCAGTGCTAGGAAATGATGAATATTTTGAGAACATAATAAGAATGTCTAAAAAAAAAAACCTGTTCAATTCTCATAAGTCTCAAGTACCATTTCCCCTTTTACAATATTTTTGCAGGCAGTCAAGGATGACCACTGAAATGCATCACACACATTCTACTGCTGTTTTTAATTAAAAACGTTAAGCAATAGCATCAAAGTTATGAATAACACTACAGTATGTGAAATACATTGTTATTGTGACAAATGTCACATAAAAGTCTGATATCAGTGCTAGGTAATTGTGAGTATTTTGAGAAGTACAGGAAGAATATCCACAATGGGGCTGTTCAATTCTTACAAGTCCCAACTCCCACTTTCCCTTTCACAACTACACTATATTGCCAAAAGTATTGGGACACCCCTCCAAATCATTGGATTCATGTGTTCCAATCGCCTCCATGGCCAGAGATGTATAAAATTAAGCACCTAGGCATGCAGACTGCTTCTACAAACATTTGTGAAAGAATGGGTCACCCTCAGGAGCTCAGTGAAGTAAAGAGTGGTACCGTGATAGGTTGCCACCTGTGCAATAAGTCCATCCGTGAAATTTCCTTGCTACTAAATATTCCATGGTCAACTGTTAGTGGTATTATAACAAAGTGGAAGCAACTGGGAACAACAGCAACTCAGCCACAAAGTGGTAGGCCACGTAAAATGACAGAACGGGGTCAGCTCATGCTGAAGCGCACAGTGTGAAGAAGTCACCAACTGTCTTCACAGTCAATAGCTAAAGACCTCCAAAGTTCATGTGGCCTTCAGATTAGTACAACAGTGCATATAGAGCTTCATGGAATGTGTTTCCATGACTGAGCAGTTGCATCCAAGCCTTGCAAAGCGCATCCAAGTGCAATGCAAAGCGTTGGATGCAGTAGTGTGAAGCACGCCACCACTGGACTCTAGAGCAGAGGAGACATGTTCTCTGGAGTGATGAATCATGCTTCTCTGTCTGCCAATCCAATGGACATGTCTGGGTTGCCAGGAGAACTGTACTTGCCTGACTGCATTGTGCCAAGTGTAAGGTTTGGTGGAGGGGGGATTATAGTGTGGGGTTGTTTTTCAGGGGTTGGGCTTGGTCCCTTAGTTCCAGTGAAGGGAACTCTTAAGGTGTCAGCATACCAACACATTTTGGACAATGTCATGCTCCCAACTTTGTGGGAACAGTTTGGGGATGACCCCTTCCTGTTTCTGTTCCAACATGACTGCACACCAGTGCACAATGGATGAGTGAGTTTGGAGTGGAGGAACTTGACTGGCCTGCAGAGAGTCCTGACCTCAACCCAATAGAACACCTTTGGGATGAATTAGAGTGGAGACTGAGAGCCAAGCCTTCTCGTCTGACATTAGTGCCTGACCTCATAAATGCATTTCTGGAAGAATGGTCAAACATTCCCATAGATACACTCCTAAACCTTGTGGACAGCCTTCCCAGAAGAGTTGAAGCTGTTATAGCTGTAAAGGGTTGACCAACTCAATATTGTACCCTACGGACTAAGGCTGGAATGCCATTAAATTTCATGTGCGTGTAAAGGCAAGCATCCCAATACTTTTGGCAATATAGTGTTTTTTTGCATACTGTCAAAATGCAATTGATCATGTCAACTGGCAACCGGAGGATGATGCGGCAATGCAATCGGGTAGTCCGGAGGCGGTGAGACAACAGGGCACTTTTTGTAACACTACACTTGACGCCTATTCATGTGTTAACAGGGATGAGCGCATTCATGAGTTTAATTTTGGTAATGGCTTTTCACTTTTAATAAAGTATTTTACATTTGTTACTGTACCATTGGAGGCATCTGTTTTTCATGTTGGTGATACATGCTGGGTTGGATTGAGGAGTTTGGCGGAGAACAGCTATCAGTGTGTAAATTCTAAAGCTAGCTATGCAAACCATGAGAGTGGGAGCCATGGTGATTTGGTGAGTGTTTGCCCCATAAGGGAGAGGAGTTTGCACGAATACTAATTTTTGGTAAAAGTTTTGGTAGAAAAGAAGAAGTTTGGGAAAGAATGAAGCACCTCTTTTCACATATCATCTAATGTGGACTATATTATTATATCCCAGCTCTATTGTGAAGTGGACACTTTCCACTTTATTGGTTTGAATTTTGTGGGTGAAGAAGTTGGCAGCAGTGATATGTTATTATAATTTTCCATGAATACTTTTTATACATATAAATATTCTTTTGGAACTATTTGGAATATTTAGTGGTGGAAAAATTTAAAATGTATTTTAATTAATATTTTTTATATTTTTTTATATATGTATTATTTGTACAGCTTCACAGCATGGAGAGCCCTTTTTATATTATTATAATAGATCCCCACTTATCATTTCTTAGATGTGGTGGCTGTATTGGTTTCCCTTTCATTTTTACGTGGTGATCCTGCCAGTAACACCATTCCTGTTCTAGGGAGGTTACTTGCTGTACTGTATCTGTGAAGAAGTGTTGTCACCCTAGGACATGACTGCTGAACACCTTCCCCTCTCATCTCAATTACATAAAGGGGAGCAGTTTTGCAGTTCTCAGAAGATAGCTGGGAAAACTGACAATATTTTTTGAGATTTCAGTTTAGTGCACAGAACATTATGAGGACTGGACTGCAAAAGGACTGTGTGTTTTTGTGCATTTTAGGAATGCACACAGTTTTCCACATATTCCTGCAATACACAAATGTCTGCCTAGGGCAGGGTAATGAAGTAAAATTCAAGTAAATATAGAAAAGTTCTGGCAGAAAAAGGCCAAGTGGTCCATCGAGTCTGCCCTTTTTTGTTTTTTTTATGCGCGGGGGGGGTGGGGTTGTTTTTTTTTTTTTTCTAGGTATACTGTAGATCTGTGTTTGTCCCAAGCATACAGCTATTTACTCTTGACTGGCTCACTGCCTCTGCTGGAAGTTTATTCCAAGCATCAACTACTATTTCAGCAAAATAGTACTTTCAGGGGCCGATAGAGACCCACACTAAAAACATTTGTGCCACATACAGTGCCTTGAAAAGTATTTATAACCCTTGCAATTTTCCACATTTTGTCATGTTAGAACCAAAAACGTAAATAGTTTTTATTGTGATTTTATGTGATAGGCCAATACAAAGTGGCACATAATTGTGATGTGGAAGGAAAATGATAAATGGTTTTCAACATTTTTTTACAAATAAATATCTGAAAAGTGTGGCGTGCATTTGTATTCAGCACCCCCGAGTCAATACTTTGTAGAACCACCTTTCACTGCAATTACAGCTGCAAGTCTTTTTGGGTATGTCTCTACCAGCTTTGCACATCTAGAGAGCAACATTTTTGCCCATTCTTCTTTGTAAAATAGCTCGAGCTCTGTCAGATTGGATGGGGAGACTGCAAGCTCTAACAGGTTTTCTTCTAAGATTGCCCTGTATTTGGCTCCATCCATCTTCCCATCAACTCTGACCAGCTTCCTTGCCCCTGCTGAAGAAAAGCATCCCCACAACATGATGCTGCCACCACCATGTTTTATATTGGTTATGTTTTCTTCTTGCCACTCTTGCATAAAGGCCAGATTTGTGGAGTGCACAACTAATAGTTGTCCTGTGGACAGATTCTCCCATCTGAGCTGTGGATCTCTGCAGCTCCTCCAGAGTTACCATGGGCCTCTTTGCTGCTTCTCTGATTAATGCTCTCCTTGCCTGTCAGTTTAAATGGACGGCCATGTCTTCGTAGGTTTGCTGTTGTGCCATACTCTTTTCATTTTCAGATGATGGATTGAACAGTACTCTGTGAGAGGTTCAAAGCTTGGGATATTTTTTTTATAATCTAACCCTGCTTTAAATCTCTCCGCTACTTTATCCCTCACCTGTGTGGTGTGTTCCTTGGCCTTCATGATGCTGTTTGTTCACTACTGTTCTCTAACAAACCTCTGAGAGCTTCACAGAACAGCTGTATTTATACGGAGATTAAATTATACACAGGTGGACTCCATTTACTAGTTAGGTGACTTCTGAAGGCAATTGGTTCCACTAGATTTTAGTTAGGAGTAACAGAGTAAAGGGAGCTGAATACCAATGCACACCACACTTTTCAGATATTTATTTGTAAGAAAAATTTTGAAAACAATTTATCATTTTCCTTCCACTTCACAATTACGTTTTTGGTTGTAACCAGGGGCGGACTGACAACTCATGGGGCCCCCGGGCAATAGGGGATCATGGGGCCCCTGTGTCCTTGCCAAAACTCAAAAAAGCCTATGAAGTTACCCGGGGCATCTCATGGGGCCCCCTACTGACCCCCGGCCCTCGGGCAGTGCCCGAGTTTCCCAATGGTCAGTCCGCCCCTGTTTGTAACATGTCAAAATGTGAAAAATTACAAGGGGTATGCATACTTTTTCAAGGCACTGTATGCTATTTCTCTCATTACACCCATTCTAAAAGGTTAGACAAAAAATAAAGACACAAAGAGAGAAAAGGGATAGACTGCACAGAAAAGGGTAAATTGGTAAAACGATGAACTGTATCTTGACATCAGAACCGACACAAAAGAAAAGAACAAATGATTTTTAAATTAACGTAGTTGACACATGGTTGTGGGAAAGACATATTGGTTTAAAATAGCTTAAGATTTTTCATTAAATAGATAAATTATTATAATTACTTTTTTTTTCACTAGAAACATTAAAAAGGGGAAACATCACCACAAAGATTTATGTAGGTTAATGTGCTTTGAAGAATTAGGATATGAAAAGTCTTTTTAAATATTTAGATGGCATGTTGATTGCAAAAGAAAGTATGTCAGTTCCGAATTTATAGATTGCATGACTTTTGTAAGGGATTTGCTGTTACATATTCCAGTATAGTTTGACACAAGCCTAGCTTCATAACAAAGAGCATTGACCTTTACACTACATTGGCTTATATATTGAAGCTGTACAGTACATGGAGCAAAGATAACATGCAAAGTGAAATAGTAATAGGAGTTGTACTATTCTCTCTACTTTCCTTTTCAGAAGAAAGTGTTAAAGCATGAAAGGATAATTTTATTAAAATTTGGCTTAATGTGTATCTATAGCTGGGTTTTTTTTTTTTTTTGGGGGGGGCGTGTTGGAAAGGATTATACCTACAGTCAGTTTTAACTACAATCAGAGGTTCCATTGGAGAGATTATTTTACTTCCTCTCTGGTAAAGGATAGGAAGTGCAGGTAAATCTCTCTAAGGTCCCATGTACACAGGACCCTTCTGAACGGTGTAAAACTGCTGGAAAACGTAGGTTAAAAAACATCTGTTTAGCCGTGTTTGCGTGTTTATGAGCGTTTGCGGTTAGAACCGTTTTTTAAAGATAACCTCAGGAGACCTTCCAAAATGCCCAGAATGCACTGAAAAACAAAAAAAAAAATTACTATTTCAGACATTTTGAGAGAAATAGAGAGAGCAGAAGCAGAGAGAGAAGTATTTGTTGAGATTAGCTGTCTTTTTTTTTTTGTGGTGTTTGGATGTGTTCCAGCTCATTTCTGTGCAGAAATTATAACAGCAGTGTCTAACATATTTTTTTTCATGCAAAACCTCAAAGTATGGTGTACCGGGTCCATTTGTACCGGGTCCATTTGGAAAACGCTTTGCATGCATTTTTCATGATGAAAAAAGGATCTGGTCAGCATCTGGAAATGGAAGAGTTAAAAAAAATTTCCAAACACAAATGCTTATAAACACGGTTAGCCGCATTTACACGCGTTCACAAGTGTTTGGCGTTTGAAACGCTGATAAAATCTACTCCTGAACGCAAGTTTGGTGCGTTCAAAAAAACGACTGTAAACTCAACTGCCTGTAAACGACTGTAAACGAAGATGTGTAC